TGGATTATTTTAGTTATTTAGCCCTTTTCACAATGAAGATATGGTTCCTGTAACTTCATTTGTCCAAGTGGCCCATGTTGAGCACATGGCAGTTACAGAAATAGGAGCAATCCAGGTTATCATTTCATAATAACTTGCCTATGAGTCTGAATTTGAACTGAAATGTATTCATATTCTGAATATTATGTGCTCTGAAAATAAGCCTGCTTAGATTCTCTTGGGCCTGGCTTCCTCTTGTTGGGTACCTTTGAGTTGATCTCAACTCAGAACAGCCTCCTGTGTCGGAGTGGAACTACCTCATATGATTTTCTAGGCTGTAATCTCTGGTAGCATAGTGCCTAAGGCACTTGACTGCTAACCAGAAGGCTGGTGATTCAAACCCACCAGCCACTCCTCGAAAGGAAGGTTGGGCAATCTACTTCCATAGTGATACTGCCTCGGAAACCCAAGGAGGGGTCTCTATGAGACAGGGCCGACTTGACGGCACATAACAACAACAACAACAACAGTCTTTACAGAAGCAGACCACCAGGACTTTCTCCAAAGGAGCCACTGGGTGGGTTTGAAACTCCGTCCTTCTGACTGGCTTGCTGACTCCTTTTCCCTCTATTTCTAGGACCAGACTAGGAGGAAAGGAGCTAGAGGTTTAAGTTTCAGGACAGTGCAAAACAATTGGAATATGGCAAGACCTCTTATAGCTAGACTACGAGGGCCCTCTCCAAGCCTTGATCGTGGCAATAATTTATTTGTTCCATATACAGTTCATCAAGTTTATTTAATCTATGTTTATTAAAAAGCTTTAGTGTTATTTAATGCCTGTAATTACATAATCTGCTGATGGCTATGTGTTCATTTTTCTCTTTGGAGGTTAAGAATCCATCAGTTCGTGGTCAATTTTCTCAAAGTTGCTTTTCTCCTTTCAGTCTGACTGACTGCCTCCAGTGCTCAGGTTAAGTAAGGCCCTACCTTAGCTCATTTTTCAAATTTCTGTCCTGAATAATGGTGTACGTTTTCCTTGGGATTGATCTCTTGATGAGGCCTGAAGAGTGAGCTCCTTCCCTCAGTGGATGGTTAAGTGGGAAGGGTGTCCTGTGCCACTCTTCTCTGAAAGCCTGAGTAGGGCAAGGGATGCCACTGTCTCACTGTCCATGGGGAAGAAGGTCCAGCAAAGAAGAGTCCTCACCAGGAATTACAAAGCTGAAAGATTGTGGTTCTTGGGTAGATGCAGAAGTTCCTAATGTTGAACGGAGTATGAATGGCTTCAAGTGAGCTCTGAAGAAAACAGGCATTCATTATCTAAAGATATTTAATAATTTGCAGTCTAAGAAGCCTAATTCACACAAACAAGTTCTCCTGGAGTAAGGCCCTTTCCAGTCTGATCCGTTGGTGCTATGGAGCTGGTATTTCAAGTATGTCCATCTGCATGTAAACGAATTGCTCCAAGACAATCTGATTATGCGGTAGTTACTTTGGTGAGACTAGCGCCTCAGTGGAATGGAAACTTCATTTTGAGTCTAATATTAGACCTTGCTTTGGAAAATTCCTTTTAAATGATCACAAGCTGGGAATAGCAAAAGAATTTCACTTTCGACAGACAGCGTTCACCAAGAACTTTTAACTGCTTATGCTGGGTCCTCGGGAAAGCAGATGTGAGAAACTCACCGGACTGCGTGGGCTGGACTAGAACGGACTTGACCTGCTGCAGTGTTTATAGCTATTGCTGATAAGTTTCCCTCTGAGTCTTAATTTGTTCAAAATATTTTCATTCTTTGAGCGTGAGCAGGCTAGGGATGAAAATTGTTAGGATGCCTAATTGTCTAATAATCGAAACGTCTGGCTTCCAGACATTGTTGCCTATACAGGGATCTGAGGCAGGGCCTGAAGGGGCTTAGACTGCAGAGTTAAGAAAAGGGTTGATAAACCTACAGAGCCAAAGCTAGTTTCTTGGGGAGTGCCGGGAACTTGATCAGAACTGGCCTTCGGAGAATATTTTTAGTTTGTCTGGCTAGTTGTGTCTGGCTGAATGGGTGAAACATCCAACTTGAAGGTTTAAGTAAACTTTGTATAAAAGACTTCATCCCCTTTCCCCCCAAAAAAACCTCTGCCATTAAAAAAAATGGTAATGTAAATGTTAACTGATGACAAAGTTTCCAAATCATGTCTGCGTGGCTTGATTTATGGATGTGTTTCAGATGCCTCACATACCTTACATTGAGAAGACCCAATATTGGAGTTTGAGTGATGAGTTTAATATTTTAAAAGATCTTTCTGAAATTTAAATACTTCTTTTAGTATGGCTAGGTAAAAGGAAATATACCCATGACCATGTATGAGTTTGGCAGATGATATTTCTGCATATGTATTTATATGTGCTGTAAGAATATCCATAGATATAAGAGAGCTAACAGGCAATGTTACGATAACTTCTTAGCCATAGCCAAACACCTTGAGGGAATGAGTCACTGGGCCTGTGGGCTGGGGCTCATGGTCACAGAGGACGTCAAGCTCAATTGGCATAATGTACTACAGAAAAACATTGTTCTACACCCCACTTCGATGAGCTGTGACTGGGGTCTTAAAAGCTTTTGAGCAGCCAAGATGCAACAATTGGTCTCTCCTTGTCCAGAGCAAAGAAGAATGAAGCAAATCAAAGGCACATGGAATCAGTTAGTCTAAGGGACTAAGAGGGCCTTGCAAATCTCAGCCTCCATGACCCTGAGACCAAACCAGATGGTGCCTGACTACCACTGCCAGCCACTCAGGGGTCAGAATTGGAGCTACTGGGTAAAGTAGGAGAAAAACGTGGAACAAAACTCAAAATCATAAAAAAAGACCAGGTTTACTGGTCTGATAGAGCCTGGTGAAACCCCTGAGACTATGACCCCTAGTCATTCTTTGGGCCTGGAATTAGACTCACTCCTGAGGCTTCCAGCCAAACAATAAACAGGCATATAAGGTGGGAGCTCTGGTGGCATAGTGCCTAAGACATTTGACTGCTAACAGGAAGACTGGAGGTTCAAACCCATCAGCCACTCCTCGGAAGAAAGATTGGGCAATCTCCTTTCATAGTGATATCGCCTCGGAAACCCAAGGAGGGGTCACTAAGAGTCAGATCCGACTCGACAGTAGTTAAGTTTAGGTTGTTTTTGGTTTTACACCAGGTAGGTACACTCCTTAGACCAATCAACCATGGGAGATCAGAAGGGTAGCATTTGCACAGGGAGATATCTCAGAGGGCAGAAGGAATGCATAGGAAAGAAGGGCACAGGGAAAAGGTAGCCACAGGGAAGAAGTGGGAAGAGAACTGTTACATTATGGAAATTGCAATCTATGTCATGAAAACAAAATGTGTAGGAACATTCTAATCATGAGGAAAATGTTAGACAAACCCAAATTGGGTCATTCTGTAGGGAACCTGGCCAATACTCCTTAAATCTTAAGAATTTCATGTCCAGGTCATGAAAAACAAGGGAAGACTAAGAAACCATCACAGGTTTTTGAAGACTAAGGAGGTAAGACAACTGAATGCAATGTGGCACCTTGATTGGATTCTGGAACAGGAAGAGGGCGTAAATGGAGAAAACAGTGAAAAAGTCTGGCGGTTACTGGACTAATAATGTGAAAATGTCAATTTCTTAGTTTTGACAAAGGTATGACTCTTGTTAATGTAGGATGTTAACTGCTGGGTTAGAGGTATACAGGAACTCTCTGTACTGTCTTTGCAACTATTCTGTAAATCTAAAATTATTACAAAATAAGATTTTTTTTTTTTTTTTAATTCATTGGTCTGTCTTGCACTCTGAATGAGCCATTTATCCATGATTCTGTAACAGGGTGCCATAGCCATTTGGAAAACACTGGTTCACTAACTTACTCAGATCTCCAAATGTTGATATCTTTTATTATACAGTACCAAAAAGTCAACATTTTTAACATTATCACCTGTGCCATCAAGAAAGTCTTTAATTATCGAGAGGCTGTCAAACTGATGTTGGCAGATACAAGTTTTCCAAAATCCTGATTTTTGCTTAAAAGCTCAAATTTTATCGTTGGCAACAAACAATGTCAGTTGTTTTCCTTTCTGAGATAGGCTCACTACATTCAGTTTTAGAAAATACCTGCCAGATAACGCGAGTCTTAATAACCATAATTTGCCTATTAATCATTCTTTCAAATAAAAATGGTGTTCCATTAAAAAGAAAAAAGTCGCTTGTTTCTCTTGCAGCACAAACAGTATGCAAGGGCTTTTCCTCAAGACAACTGTCATAGTTCAGGATGTCACAGAGGGTTTCATAGCTCTTTCCATTTTGACACACAGAGCATTAAAAGATGCACTCACGGGTCAAGATCGAATAAAATTAGTACTTTTTGCTGCTTCATCAAGGACATTCATAAGAGAAAATGACACACACACACACACACACACACCCTTTTACTGTGGGAGTGTTTGAGTGGAGAACACAATGACAGTAGTCTGGTTGGCTGCCCCTGCCTTGATTTGTGCTAAGGTGCTAGCGGCTTAACTCGGCATTGCTTTTGCACTATCGGTTCCAATAGGAAATACAGTGAAAAAGGCAAATAGCGTCTTACTGTTATTATGAAAATTGTTTGACCTCATCGACCTCCTGAAGGGGTCTTGGGGACTTGTAAGGGTCCATGAACCACACTCTGAGAGGTGCTCTTCTGAAGTGGCAGTTGCTAGAAAGGTTACAGAGGACGAGCTGACAGGACCGAAGACCATACTCTTCAGGAAGCAGAAAACCGTGATGCAATACAGTATGTTCAGAAGATGACACTCTTCTGCCTTAATTTGTCTTGCTTTTGATGGCTGATGGCACTTTTCCATTTGTTTGTGATATTATATTTAAAGGCTGCAAACTCTGACTGTGGAAACTTGGTATCTGTGTTTGCTACTATTTTTTTTTTTACTATCATTATATATAAAACTTAATTCAGGGAATTCAGATTCCCTCTTACACTTTGTTTTCTTTTCATTGAAGGTAAATCTCACCTTGCTATTGTGCAGCGGGTAAACAATGAAGGAGAAGGGGATCCCTTTTATGAAGTTCTGGGAATCGTCACATTGGAAGATGTGATTGAAGAAATCATCAAGTCTGAGATCCTAGATGAAACAGATTTATACAGTGAGTGACCTGTTCCTTTGCTTCTCTGTCATCTGACATCTCTCCAGGTCATTGCGTGTTTGTAAATAGGCCCAGTGTTGTGGGCTGTGCCCACAGGGTATCCCAGCCCCTTCATGGGAGGGGAAGGAAGGGGCAGATCCTGCCACGTCAGGTGGCAGTGTTTCTTGAAGCCAGCCACTTCTAACCAGTGATCTGGACAGTATTTACCCTGACCAGCAAAGTCTGCCCCATTCCACCAGTTAAATTGATTGACATGAATAAATGCACTCTTCTTCTTTTTTAATTTTTATTGTGATTTGGGTGAAAGGTTACAGAGCGAATTCACTTTCCATGCATTAGTTCACATACATTTTGTCTCATGACATTGACTACAATTTCCCACAGTGCAACAGCTCCCCTCCCACTTCCTCCCCATAGTTACCTCTTCCCTGTGTCCTTCTCTCCCATGCATTCCTGCCTCCCGATCTGTCTCCCTGTGCATACACAGCCCTTCTTTCTTCCACGATTGATCTCTCCAGGGAGTATATCCACCTCATGTAAATTGAACTCTTACTAAATTTTCATTTTATACAACCAGGTAAATTGTTTTCACATAAATTTCTGTTTCTACTTGCATTCCTAATTCAAGGTTGTAAAAAGTGAGTGGGATTTGTTCAATTGATGATAACAACTCCTTGGTCCAGAACTTATGAGTCAAGGGTAAATGTAGGTTTGCAAGTTTATAGTTTTACTGGGTTGAGGTAGGGGGAGGAGGCAGGACAGGGTCAGGTACATAATAAGAATGTGTTTTTCCTATTCTCTGCCTTCTTTGGGTGGGTGGGGGGGGGGGGGGGGATGAGCGTCCATACCTTGTTTGCCCAGGAAATAGTTCAGCTTGAACCTGGGCTGAGCCTTGAACTTGAATGTTTTCTCTTCAAAGTGTACAACTGATTCATTGTACCAGGGAGCTTAAACCTTCTTCCTCAGCCTCACTCTTAATTGTGTAAGACTCAAGCTTTTCATAAAGCCAGGGATAGCCCAAGGCTTGATATGTTTGGGAGTCTGGGGGTTAGAATCGAGAAAAAGCGTCTGGGCTCTGATTCTCCTGTTTGGGGAACATGGATCGTTCAGATGCGCTGGGCAGTGGAAACAGCGCCTGCCTTGTTCAGAGCACAGGGCTTTTATTCAGCCCCCTGGAAGATGATGTCCCCCTTTTATAATTAGGAAAGTTTTCCAGGTAACCCTTAAAGAATAAATTGTATAGTTAGCTAATGACTATCTTCTGAAAATGTATCCTATTTTTTTTCTTCACAATCATGTAAACCAAAAACCAAACGCATTGCCATCAAGTTAATTCCAACTCCTAGTGACCCTGTAGGAAAGGGTAGAACTGCCCTATAGAGTTTCCAAGGCTGTAATCTTTACGAAAGCAGACTGCCTCATCTTTCTCCCCTAGAGGGCCTGGTGGGTTTGAACCACCGACGTTTTATTTAGCAGTTGAATGCTTTAAAACCACTTTAACCAGAACTTCACATCTGTATAGCGTCCTTTAATGTCTGTTTTATCCTTTTGACGATTGGAGCGTGGTCAGAGGACTTACAGTAAAGAACACTATGGTGTGTGCGTTTCTGTTCTTTTCATCCTTCCTTACAAGTGATTGTTGAGTGCCAAGTGTGTCTCTGTGTCTTTCTGTTTCCTCAGGGGTTGTATTCATCATAAGAAAAAAGAATGAAAACATTTATAACATTTTACGTTTACACTTCAGTTCTATATACATTGTTAATTTCAAGTTTTTTTAAGCCTCGATCAAACGGATTTCCTATGAAAGTATTGCTGAACTTGTGTTACTGGTAGAAAATGCTGAACTTGTGGTTTTGGGCATAGTTTGCAAATTTCTTTGGATCTACATATGATCACTGATGATGAAATCCGTTGCCATTAGAAACTTGTTTTCCAATTTTATATTGATTTCTACTGTCTAGTGCTCACAAGAACTGGAAGCACAAGAAAACGGTAAGTTGTGATAACTTTCTCCCCAGGAGGAACGGAGTCATCAGTCTGGTTTGCTGGGACAGAAAGTGGTGACGCAGTGACTGGCTCAGGATTCCTGGGCAAGAACCGGCAGCTGGGCTTGTGGCTTAAATTGGTTTTTATCTTGATCACTACTTAGCCCAGAAAAATGCTTAAAAAATGGTTTTGCATTAGACACCTGCCAAGGTTCAGCAACCTATAGCCCCCAGGCGTCTACCACCTGTTTTTGTATGGCCTGTGAACTAAAAATGCCTTTGCACATTTTTAGACATTTGAAAAAAAATCAGAAGAAGAATCCTATTTCCTGGCGTGAAAATTGTGTGAACCTCAAGTTCTAGTGTCCACAAATAAAGTTTTATCGGAACACAGCCATACTCATTCATTTATGTGTCGTCTGTGGCTGCTTTTGCTGCAGCCGCCAAGTTGAGTAGTTGCTGCAGAGACCCTGTGGCCTGCAGTGCTTACAGTATTGACTGACCCTTCAGGGAGGAAATTTGCCAGCCCCTGTTCTAGGTCACCTTCTTTGTATTTGCTTGACCTTGAGGATCTCATCCATGAAAATGAAGCAAACAAATAATAAAGTACTGTTCTGTGACATAAGTCATCTTTGTGTGTGTGTGTGTGTGGGGGGTTCTGTTTGATTTTTCTTTTCTGGCAGAGAATACATGGCTATTAAAGGCAGGGACACACACATCCCTTGTGTCCTCTGTAGCACAGTGATTGTTTTTCACGGAAATGTGAACTGAACAGGGTGAGCCTGTACCCCAGGGAGTCCCTGGATGGTGCAGTTAAGTGCTTGACCACTAACCAAGAAGTTGGTAGTTCAAACCCACCCTGGAGTACCTCAGAAGAAAGCCCTGGTGATCAGCGTCCAAAAGGTCACAGCCTTGGCAGCCCATGGAGCGCAGCACTGCTGTGCATACACGGGGTCTCTGTAAGTCTGGATGGACTTGACAGCCACAGCTTTTGTTTTCCTTTTTCGGTGCGTGCATTACAAGTTTAGATCATCTGTTGCTATGTGGTTATATAAGTTCTATGAGGCTTTTTGCCCAAGTCTGCCAATAATGTGCTTATTAAAGGGCTCCTGTAAGCATCTTCATGAAGTATGTTCATAGTAATCAGGTGACTGTCCTCACTGTGGATTGTGTCATGACTGTGCTGTGCCAACTTGACAAGCGTGCCCTCTCTCCCTTCTTGTTTCCGTGTGGTGTTTTGATGTAGCGTGTCCATATCAGGAGAGGGTCTAGCCTTTCCAGTAGATTTTGTCTTTTTCATTCAACAAGAGCCCTGATGTCAAAGAACACGGTTCCTTATCCTTTCCTTTTCTTGTTCCTCCTCAGCTGATAACAGAACGAAAAAGAAAGTTGCCCATCGGGAGAGAAAGCAAGATTTTTCTGCCTTTAAGCAGACAGACAGCGAGATGAAGGTTAAAATATCACCACAGCTTCTCTTGGCAATGCACCGTTTCTTAGCAACAGGCAAGTGCAGCTTATCACAGTTTGAAATCTCTACCAACCCTGGAGCGTGTTTCTCACCCACCACTGACTGGGGTGGGCTGGGGGTGGAGACCGGGAAATGGGGTGATAAGTAATGCCACTTTTGTGTTTTGTTTTTTTTGTTCTTTTTTTGTTTTGTTTTGTTTTTTTCTTTTTAAATTCTCTCCTCTCCTATGTTCAGTGTCGGCATGAACCCTCTGAGACATTTACCAGGGGTGGACCAGTAACTTAAAATTGGTCTGAAAGGTAAGGATGAACGTTAGTGCCACACTGCATGTGTTCAGTAGGCCAGGTCATCTACCTCCAGCTAAGCCCATGGTAGAACCAGCTGTTGGAATGAGCTAACATGCCAGCCAGACACCACCTCACTGTTTGACTGGACAGTTGCGTAATTAATTCTCTCTTCAGCTTGCCTTGGAAGAACAGTTGGACATCAGTTGTAACACAGGTCCTATGAGCTGCAAAGAAGAAAAATAGATTTTCAAAATTAAATCTTTCTCTTTTATGGTTTTAATGAAATCAGAAATTCTAAGAACTTTGGCATGGATTTCTCGATGGTCTCTTCAGATCAGATTGTTAACTTGAGGCCATTCCAGAAGGCGAGTATTCACATTATTAAAACCACTAACCCAGCCGGCACTGACTGCTCCGGAGAGGTGAAGGTTGAATGGACGTAAGAGACTCACTGACCCTTCTCACATCCCCAGATGGCTCGCTAGGTGGAAGGTGAGCTCTGTGGGTCAGGGGAAGTGTAAGAAAATCAGAAGTACCCAGTGGCTTCTAGAAGACGTCTGTGTCCGAGATGGGCAGCTCGTTCCTTTCAGCTGCATGCTGTATACCTAAAACGTTTTGAAAAGGCAACAAACAGCAACCACACGGAATATTATATGTACTCTTTAAAGATCATGTTTTCAGAGATGTGGGAATGCTCATAGTATATTTATGACATGGGAAAATACTCATAATTTAATGTGAAGTGGGAGAAAACAGTATAAGGTTATGTGCCGTATGGGTATAGTTCTGTTTTTGTGTGTATACACACACATATACACAGGTACATGTAGGTGAGCTCCTAGGAAAAGATGCTCACCAAAGAGCTAAGAATGGTTTTCCAAACGGTTGGTTTATGAGTCACTTTTATTTTCTTCTTTATCTTTTTTGTACTTTCCAAAACATTTGCAGTGTACTATCTTATTTCATTATTACCAAAAAAGGCACAGAAGCTAATCACAATTTATAATTTTCAAAATAAACAATAATCTTTAACTTGTTTATTATTTTTTCTAATTCTGAAACAGCACTCCTAGTCATTTAAGAACTATAATATAAAATTAAACATTATGCTCCGAGATTATCATAAAGTCTTGTTTCGGTATAGCACTCATAAGTCAGCAATTTTAGCTTTTTTCATTTCAAATAAAATTGACATCTTTGTTAATACTTCAACATAACTTTTTTTTTTTTTTAATTAGCAAGTTGGAGTGCGTGTTGACGTGTGCACACGCTCTGCTTCTGTTCTCCATCTCTACCTTCCTTTGTTCCCAGAATTTCTCAACATAGTTGCAAGGGAGAGTGAGATGTGGAGTCCCTGTATCTGTGCACCTGATACTAACCCACAGCTAGATGCTTCCTGACCCTTGCTTCTTCCATTGGCTGTCATTGGACAGTCAGACTTGGTGGCTTGTTAAAGGACGGCCTGGCAGTCAAGGAGTGGGCTTCTGGTTGATTTTCATTTTTCTCAGTCAGAAAATTAGGGTATTTTTATGAGAGCTGAAATTAACGACAGGTTGAAAAAGGAAATTTAAAGGCAATAAAGATGAGAATTCAGCATTTTCTAATTTCTCCCAGGTAATCTGCCCCCAGTGGATCACCTAACGGAAGTCTTGTTAATCCATATTGCATCACGTTGATTCCAAGTATTCTTTTTATCTAAACACTTTAATTACTAGTATAATTTTTTTTTCCATCCATTTGAAGTGTAATATCAAGTTGTGTTTATATCTATAGAAGTAGAAGCATTTAGCCCATCCCAGATGTCAGAGAAGATCCTTCTAAGGCTGCTAAAGCACCCCAATGTCATCCAGGAACTGAAGTATGATGAGAAGAACAAGAAAGCCCCAGAGTACTACCTCTACCAGCGAAACAAACCTGTAGACTACTTCGTTCTCATTTTGCAGGTCAGAAGGATTATTCAACAGTTGTTTGATCTCACTGAGTTTCCCATCTTTCAAGTTCCGAGGAGGCTAATGTAGCTGAATGGGTGTCAAGGTTTTTACACTTAACTTCTGGTAACTTTATACATGGGAGAATTTAACCTCCATGTTTTCCTATCTTGAAATATTTTTAATATAAAGCAATGCCATTAATTAATTTTCAAGACGAAAGGCACTTAGTGATTGCTGAGATGTTGGGGCAAACGAAGAATGTGAATTTGATGGTTAGTATTTTTTCAGAATTTGGGGAAGTGTCTTCGGGAATTTGAAACTTGTGTCATAGGTTCCCTTGGGTCCTTTTTTTTTATCATCTTTTTTTTTCCCTACCCCTCATTAGGAAATGAGGAAGTTGCTTTTCTATAACTTCCTAGAGAAATCTTAGTATCCCTTCTTTTAACACCATTAAAATAATCCTTTCATTGTTGTTTTCACTCCTGATTACTAACCAGACTTTATTTTACAAAGAACTGATGTGATAATCAAAACCTCTCCTGGTGGTGATAACTAATTCTTTCTAATAATCTGCTATGTAAGGTGGGAAGGTCAACATTACAATAAACTTTTAAAGTGTTAGATTTTTGACTTCTTGTACCTCTTTTTTGAAGAATTGCTTTTACAAGAAATCTTAGTTTCTTTCAGTACAAGAGCTCTGGTGGCATAGTGCCTAAGGCATTTGACTGCTAACCAGAAGGCTAGGGATTCAAACCCACCAGCCACTCCTTGGAAGGAAGGTTGGGAAATCTACTTCCATAGAGATAATGCCTGGGAAACCCAAGGAGGGGTCGCTGTGGGACTTGACGGCAGTGAGTTTAGTTTTTTGTTTTTTCAATACAAGAATATTAGCCCCGTATAATTTTTCATATATCTTGGGTCTTCCTAGATGTGAACTGTAGCTATCATTGTAAGAGTATTTAGTAGGCCCTATAATTTACATGAGTCCAGCAAGGCCCCAATTACCTAAATGAGTTAAGAAGGTTCTTTTTCTCTGAAAATAACTCTTATCTGATGTCCAGATGTCAGAAACTTTGGAATGTTTGGGCAGTGCTGTGACGTCTAGAAACAGGATTGAGGAACTGTGGAAAAATGTCATGAGTTAACTGGTTACACACCACTTTCTTACAGTCTTTGAAGATCCCGTGTGCAAGTTGGCTGTAACTTAGCAGTTGAATTTATAATCTCAGTCTTACTCAACTCCAGTCTTCTCTGCTAACCTCAGTCTTATCAGCCCTGAATTGTGAGCTCCCTTTTTTCTCTGGAGACATACGCTCAGAATTCTGAGGGTGCTGTGGGTAATTTATTTTATTTACTGCAGATAGGGAACAAAACATTCATGTTCTCATGAAAGCTAGATGTGAGGATTCCTTAAACCCAGAGAACCTTTGAATCACGTTGAAGGCTCTTATATAGGAGAACTTTGAGGATGGATGTTGTGAATTTCAGGGGCAGTATTAGAAATTGTGTGGAGTTCAATTGTCTATTTTTTATATATAGTTAGCACTTAGGAAGTTGTGATTGAACAATGCCCTGTTTCTTGGTAAGAATGGCATTCCTGGCTGATGGATCTGAAAATAACGTTCATGAGTGAGAGATTTCATGATCCCTGTCCACTTAGAAGTAAATCTTTTAAAGATATTTTTGATCAGCCTATATACCTATATATTTGAATACCTATGGCAGATTAAATATTATGTAGATGTACAAGTTTTTTGAATTCCCAAACTGATAATTTTTTATGGGAGTTGTATAAGTAGCGTGTGTGTGTGTGTGTGTGTGTACTTGGTTAAAGGGATTTATAGAAGTTTTAAACTGTAAGCACCCGTTATATACCTCTCTAGCTTTAGCACTTCTAAAGAAAAGTAAGGGTATTTCTGTGGTTCAGAACCATCCCTTGTAGACAAGCACAGTCAATATGGAAGAGTCTCAGCTCACTGAGGTAGATGAAGAAGGAGAAGCCAAAGACATACAGTCTCTGATCATGATTTCAGTTGAGAGACAGACAACTGGAAAGTGCTATAGATTCTGGAAATATTTATTGATATAGCGTAACTTAATGGACCAAAAAAAAAAAAAAAAGTGTTTAAACTGTAGGAAAAAACTAAAAAACTCACTGCCGTCATTTCCGACTTATAGCAACCCCTCCTTGGGTTTCTGAGGTGATATCACTACCGAAGTAGATTGTCCAATCTTCCTTCCAAGGAGTGGCTGGTGGTTTGAACCGCAAACCTTGTGGTTAGCAGTCAAATGTCTTAGGCACTACACCACCAGAGCTCCTTAGCAGGGTATAGCAAATTGAAATACCATATTGCCTTCAGTGAACCTAGCATAGCTATCATGACTTATAAGTGTATTCCTACCCTGAAATGTCACTCACCCAATGTGGGGAGATCGTGCCAGGTTGTTGAGCATGCCCTGCTGCCTATCAGTCATGTGACCGCAGAAGAGGGCAGCAGTCTCATGCCTTTCCTGCCTCATCCTCAGAGCCCCTGCGACACCTTTGTCTGCAGACTCCAGAAACAGCCCTTTATTGAAGTAATTGATATCTGGAATACAGTTAATTATTAGTGACACACTTCATTTTTGGGTTTAACCCTAGATGAAATAAAGTCTAATTTATTCAAAGCAAACAATTTAAACCAAATTAGAAGAATATTCTATAAGTTACCATGACATACCTCCTCCTACATAGGTATAAGATTAAACTTTCATGTTTTACCTGAAAAAGTAAATTTTAAAACTGAAAGGTATTGAAGGACAGTTGTAAAATCCCAATAAATCATGAACACAACTTTAGTGACTCTATAGTCCTAAAAACTAAACACCAGACCATTTGCCATCCAGGTGATTCCAACTCCTAATGACCCTGTAGGACAGAGTAGAACCGCCTCATACAGTTTCCAAGGCTGTCTTCATTAAGGGAGCAGACTGCCACACCTTTCTCCCACAGAGCAGCTGGTGAGTTCAAACTGCTAACCTTTTGATTCGCCACCAAGTGCTTTAATCACTTTTAATCACCAGGGTCCCTTTGCCCTAAATAACATTTAAAAACAGTAAAAATGTGGATGTTGTTGTTGTTGTTAAGTGCTGTCGAGTCGTTTCCGACTCATAGCGACCCCATGCACAGCAGAACAAAACACTGCCCGATCCCGCACCAGCCCCACAATCCCTGCTATACTTGAGCCCATCATCGCAGCCACTGTGTCAATCCATCTCGTTGAAGGCCTCCCCCTCTTTCGTCGACCCTCCACCCTACCAAGCATGACATCCTTCTCCAGGGAATGGTCCCTTCTTACAACATGACCAAAATAGGTGAGACGAAGTCTGGCCATTCTCGCTTCCAAGGAGCATTCTGGCTGCACTTCCTCCAGGACAGATCTGTTAGTTCTTTTAGCAGTCCATGGTACTTTCAGCATTCTCCGCCAGCACCACAACTCAAAAGCATCAACTCTTCTTCGGTCTTCCTTATTCATTATCCAGCTCTCACATGCATACAAGGCTATTGGAAATATCATGGCTTGTGTCAGGCGCACCTTAGTCCTCAAGGAGATATCCTTGCTCCTCAGCACTTGAAACAGTTCCTTCGCAGTTGGAACTGTTTAAAAAAAGTAAAAATGCGGATAGAAACGTAATATTGGTGGAAATATTTCTTGACCATCATTATAAGAGCTTGCATACCAAGAAAAAATGTGTATAATTTGAAATTATGCAACTAGTAAAATAAAAGAAAAAGATTAGGAGAAAATTAAACATAAAAGCCAGAGAAATACACTTTTTTAAAAGTGTACGTATCTGTCATAAATATTGATCATTTAACATATCACAGAGTAAGTTCAAGCAAATACGAAAAGAAAGAAATTTTATACAGCGACCTGCACAGATCATAATGAAATAGTTAGAAATAAAAATACATGATTGAAAAGTTCTAAGTCATATTAAGATTGTGATAAATTCTTTTATACAAGTATATATATAAGGTGTGGAACAGAACATATAATATACTCTCATTTGTGTAAAACAGAAAAAGGCTATACACACACACACACACACACACACATTGAAATTTCTCTGGAAAATAACCCAAGAAACTGGTAGCAGTGGTTACCACTGAGGAAGGACACTTGGACTGAGATGAGTTTAGGAGGGAGATTTATTTATCTTCTGTATGGTTTGAATTTCTTACCAGGTACATATGTTACCTATTTAAACAAATAACCATGTTAAAAATAGAATTAACAGCCAATTAATAATTATCCAAAGTAGTAACTGAATTAGGGAGGAAAATATATAGATATCATGAAAAACTAATATTAAACACTGTACATACCATACATGTATCGAAGTTCTGAACAATTTTATTCCTTTAAGAACTTAGGCAAATAAGAGAAGATAGAGAACTATAATTTAGATAAAGACAAATTAACAAATTAAAAAAAAATAAAAATTGTTGTCAAAATAGATTTGAAAATGAAAAAGCTTTACAATTTGTAAATAAAATCAAGATTTGCTTCTTTTAAGAGATTTTAAAAAAAAATCAGTATTCTGTGGGCATAATTAGTGTGATAAAAGAGAAAAAGCAAAATGAGTTTTTCCTCTTCCCTCAAAGCAGCTAGAATTAAAGAATTTGCTAGGAAAACAAACAAACTCCAGAATTTAAAGAACTCATAATTTCTATATTATACGAATGGAAAAAGATGGTATGGTCAGATGCATGTTTTTATGGTTAATATGAGCTTAACCCTACATTCTACTAGTATTATGGGCCAGTCTCACTGGTGAACATTGATATAGAATTCCTACATAAAAAGGTGGCATTTAAAGAACAACATACCCAAAGTATCATTCACTGTGAGTGTGACTGGGTTGATTATAGAAATGCTGGGGTAAGTTAATGTAAGAACGAACCAAAATCGGTCACATTAGTTAGGAAAGTAGTGTGTGTGTGGGGAACCAACCCTTATGCTCATATC